TATATATATATGCATATATATACAAGCATATTAATATATTTGTTTATTTTAGATTTATTTATTTATATTTATATATTTATATTTACTTATTCTTTTGAGTCAATTTATATTTATCTATACACCAACAAATATATATATATATATAATTATATGTGCACACAATGCATGCATATATACACATACTTATATTATAATTCATTTTAATTATTTTCTGATTATTCTGCGAAGAGAAGACTGAGGGGGCCCCACTTGGGGGCCCCCAGCGGTAGCCCTGGGGGCCCCCAGCAGCAGCAAAGCAGTTGCATGCGTTTGTTCTGTTTTAAACAAGAGCAAAGATTATATTTTTATTTAATTAAATAAAATAAATTCAAAGTTTACTTTAATTGATTATAGATAGAGAAAATAAGAGGGGCCTCATACGGCTAAACTCAGCCAGCATAGTTGCCCCCTAGACCTAAACCCTAAACCCTAAACCCTAAAACCTAAACCCTAAACCCTAATTCTTTTTTTTCTCTTCTTTAGCGTGTAGCGGGGAGGGGCTTCAACCCCAACAGCGCATTCAAGCTAAAGAAAAGCACAGGGGCCTCTGGGGCCCCCTTTAGGGGCCTCTAACGAGGTGTATGTACAGCTCGCAGGGGCCCCAATTAGCTATTACTCCGTCTCTATCCTTCTTAGTATTTCATACTCTTCAAATACACCAACATGCAGCAGCAGCTGTGGCAAACAACAGTAGCACCACCAGCTGCAGCAGCAGCAGCAGCAGGGGGAGCACAATCTGCAGCAGCAGCAGCAGCAGCAGCAGCACCCTCTCACAATTCCACAGCCGAATCTCCTTATATATGGGTACCCCCTATATCTGCATCAGCCCCTGCAGCTGCATCAGGGGCCCTAATGGGGGCCCCCATGGGGGCCCCTATGGGGGCCCCAATGGGGTCTTCTATGGGGGCCCCTATGGGGTCTTCAATGGGGGCCCCTATGGGGGCCTCTATGGGGTCATCAGTGGGGGCCCCTATGGGGGCCCCTATGAGTTCTTCAGTGGGGGCCCCTATGGGTACATCTGTGGGGTCCCTCATGGGTACATCTGTGGGGGGCCCCATGGGGGCCCCCACAGGGGCCCCTGTGGGGGCCCCCATGGGGGCCCCCCATGGAAGCAGTTTGGGGGGCCCCCCACTAAATGAAGCTCTAAGCAGCAGACGAGCTGTAAGAATAATAAATCTGAAGCCGATGAGAGAGTTAAGGATTGTGCTGCCCGAGCGCCAAGAACAAGAAGACGCAGGAGATGCAGCAGAAGAAACGCAAGTTGTTGCTGTTAAGGTGAGAGGGCCTCTGAATGGGGCCCCCAAGGGCCCCCATAGAGGGTACAACAAAAGAAGCGCTTGCTGCTGATCTTGATGCTGATGCTGCTGCTACTACTGCTGCTGCAGGTTATCCTACTGCTGCTGCTGCTGCTAATAATAATAGTAATAATGCGTCTTACTACTGCTGCTGCTGCTGTGCTGCTGCTGCTGCTGCTGCTGCAGCTGCTGGGTTCGAACACTTCAGATAGGGGTGGGGCTCGGGGCCCCCGCGTAGGTGGCGGCGCAGCAGCAGCAGCAGCAGCAGCAGGAAGCAATGGGGCTTCTTCAGTGGGAGGAAGTGCAGCAGCAGGCGGTTCTTCTGGAGCAGCAGGAGCAGCAGCACAAGGTGCAGGAGGAGGCGGTGCGTCAGCAGCAGGAGCAGCAGCAGCAGCAGCAGCAGCAGGAACAGCAGAAATATTCGGTATGGAACTGCTGCCTGATGTTGAATGCTGCTTACCCCCTGCTTCTCGCCTGGCTATCTTTACTTGGGGGGGCTGCACGCTGCAGATCAGGGGGCCCGTTCACCAAGTAAAACCTACTCTTGCTGCTGCTGCTGCTGTTGGTGTTGCTGCTGCTGCTGCTGCTGTTGGTGTTGCTGCTGCTGCTGCTGTTGGTGTTGCTGTTGGTGTTGCTGTTGGTGTTGCTGTTGGTGTTGCTGTTGTTGCTGTTGTTGTTGGTGCTGCTGCTGCTGGTGTTGTTGCTATTGCTGTGGGTGTTGTTGTTGCTGTCGCTGCTGCGGTTGCTGTTCCTGCTGCTGTTGCTGCTGCAGCTGTTGCTGCTGCGGCTGTTGCTGCGGCTGCTGCTGCTGCTGTTTGCGTGTGGGGTGGAGGAGCTCTATCTGGGAGTTTGTTGTTTGTTTGTCTTCTTTTGTTTATTTTATTTGTTTTCTCGCTTCTCCTCTTGCTGCTGCTGCTTGCTGCTGCTGCTGCTGCTGCTGCTGCTGCTTGCTGCAGGAGTACGAGGCAGCAGACCGCACAATGTCTTTCCTTTTGAATTTGAACTCGGTGCTGCATGCGAGGAGACAGGCAGCAGCAGCAGCGCAGACACTCGGGCCCAGAGTACGCTGGCCTCTACAAAGCTAGCTAGCTAGCTAGTCAGATAGCTAGCTAGCTAGCTAATTACTCGTTACACAGCTAGCGACCCATCAAATGGCTGCAGATATGCGTCAACGTGCGCACTAGATCCTCCATATCCCTAAGCATACACCCTGCTGCTGCTGCTGCTGCTGCTGCTGCTGCTGCTGCAGGTGTTGGTGACGGGCAGCAGCGGCAGCGGGAAGAGCAGCGTCTGTCACATTTTATGTAATTACGCGCTGAGGTGTGGCTGGACGCCTCTCTTCCTTGAGCTGGACCCCAGGTATTTGTTTTCTAGCTAACTACACCCCACAACCACTCCCCACATACAAATACCCACGGGGCCCTGGGGGCCCCCGGGGGCCCCCGACCTCTCGGGGGGCCCCCAAAACCTCCAGGGGGGGCACTCGGGGTCTTTGGGAACCCCTGGGGCCCCCTGGGGCCCCCTGGGGGCTCCTGGGGCCCCCTGGGGGCCCCTGGGATTCCTTGGGGCCCTTGGGGGCTTCGTGGGGGCCCCTGGGGGTCCCTTGGGGTTTGTTGGGGCCCTTGGGGGCCCCTGAGTTTCCTTTGGTTTGTTGGGGCCCCTAAAGGGCCCCTAAAGGTCCCCTAAAGGGCCCCTTGGGGGCCCCTTAGGACCCCTTGGGGGCCCCTTAGGACCCCTTGGGGGCCCCTTAGGACCCCTTGGGGGCCCCTGGGTTTTGTGTTATTGTTTGTGTGGGGCCCTTAGGGGCTTCTTTTTTTTTGTTTGTTTTTGTTTGTTTTCGGTGTTTGTTTGTTTTGTGGAGATGGAGGGGCCTCAGCACAGTCAGGCGGTTTAAGAGAGCAATTTCTCGCAGGGTTTAGGGTTTAGGGTTTAGGGTTTGGTTGCGTGTGGTGCAGAGGCAGCTGCGACAAGGGGCCCCTCCAGATGCCTCCCGGGTGTATAGGCAGCTGCGTTTGTCGTTCACTAGAGGCAGAGGCCCCCGAGGATCCGTTAATCTATTTTGTTGGCAGCAGCAGCAGCAGCTTCCCTGAAGGAGACAGCAGCAGCAGCAGCAGCAGCGGTGGGGTTGGTGCTGCTGCTGCTCGTGCTGCACCTGCGCCTCCAGACATCGAGCTTCCTGAAGGCGACACAACCGCAGCAGGAACAGCAGCAGGAACAGCAGCAGGAACAGAAGCAGCACCAGCAGCAGCAGCAGCAGCAGCAGAGTTTGCTGCTGCGGAGAGCTCGACTAGCTCTAACGCAATCTCACTTGAATTGTTTCCTTGGGTTTGCTGCTGCATCAGCAAAGTGCTGCATGCAGCATTTGCATATTCAGTGCTGCACCAGTCTGCTGCAGAAGACAAAGAAGACAGCTTCGCCTCTAATGAAGCCCAAAGCCCTTCTCTTGCGGCCTCTGGTGAGCTGTCGCTAGCTGTAGATAAGCATACGGCTAGCTAGCTAGCTACGGAGCTGTAGCCAGCCAGTTAGCTAGCTGGGCAGCTAGCTACAGATTGGTGGATAGCTAGCTACAGCTAGCTAGCTGGCTAGCTGAGAGAGGACAGTTGGGGCTAGCTGGAGCTTGTTTCTTTCGTCTTCGCGGGGGCGTCAATTAATTTCTTGATTGCTTTTATTATTATTATTATTGCTGCTGCTGCTGCTGCTGCTGTGTGTGGTGCTGCAGGCATGATAGCGAACGCCCCGCAGCAAGTATCGCTGCAGCAGCTGCAGCAATTGATAGAAATATTTGGGTTTGATGTTGTTTTAGTGCTGGACAACCCCTCGCTTGCGCACGAGCTCGCTGGGGTGTATAGGCACGTACTGCCGGATACTGCAGAAGACGCAGCAGCACAGCAGCAGCAGCAGCAGCAGCAGCAGCAGGGTCACTTTCTGAATGCAGCAGCAACAGCAGCAGCAGTAACGCCAACCCCCAGAGTGGAGGTTATTTCGCTGCCTAAGCTTGAAGGGACGATTGCGGTAAGCGTCTCTTCTTTGTTTTTTTAGTGAGAGTTTAGCTGTCTCTCTTTTATTTATTTTTTATTTGTCTTCTGCTGCTCGCACTGCTGCTGCTGCTGCTGCTGCTGTTGCTGCACTGGCTGTTACTTCTGCTGCTTCTGTTGCTGCTGCTATTTTTGCTGCTGCTGCTGCTTGTTGTCCTGCTTCTGCAGCATTAGCTGCGTTTGCATCTGGCTGTGTCTCTTAATGCGTTTCTTGTTGCCTGCATTTTGCTGCTGCTGCTGCTGCTGCTGCTGTTGCTGCTGCTGCTGCTGCTGCAGCCTGATGCTGCGCGGGTGCGTTCGCTGCGTCGGTTGTGGCTGCGCCGATATTTCTTCGGTTCTTCTTCGCTCTCTGCTGCACCACAAACTGTGAGGCTGCTGCTCTCGAACTGCATTTTACTTCAACTCAAACAAAAAGCAGCGCTGCCTCTCTCTGCCCGCCCCGCAGGTACGCAGACACACAGCTAGCTAGCTGTGTGGCAGCAGCTAGCTAGCCATGTAGCAGCAGTAGCCAGCTAGCCATACAGCAGCAGGTAGCTAGCCAGAATATAACCGCGCAGTCACCAACACAACCACTCGTACAGGCCCGCATCACCAGCCACACAGCTAGCCAGCTAGCCACGTAGCTAGCTGTAGCTAGCCGTAGACGTAGCTAGCCCCCGGCTAGCTAGCTAGCTAGCTAGGGAAGTGATATGAAGTGAACATGGAACGAACACAGCAGCAGCAGTAGCAGCAGCAGCAGCAGCAGCATCACCAAGACCAGCAGCAGCATCAGTAGCATCAACAGCGTTAGCAACAGCGTTAACAAGAGCATCAGCAGCAGCAACAACAGCAGGAGAAGCAGCAGCAACAACAACAGCAGCAGTTCTAGGATATGTGCATGCGTATCTTCAGGAAGCCACGCTACTGAGAGCTCTCGTTTGCTGTGGGGCCCCTTTAGGGGGCCCCCTAGCAGTTTATTAAACGCAGTTTTGGCTGTACCCAACACCAACAACCCGAAAGCAGTATCGACAGCAAGCGTTTGTTTTCTCGTTCATGTTTGTAGCGTAGAGGTAATATAATTACTCTAATGCACCATCAAACCCTAAACCCTAAACCCTAAACCCTAGCTGTCCCTCTTTCTAATCCAAACCCTAGATACACCAAACCCCTAAACCCCAGTACACTGCAGGGGCAGCTGAATTACTGCTGCTGCTGCTATTGCTGCTGCTGCTGCTGCTGCTGCTGCTGCAGGTTGATGGTGAAGAGCCTGTCTTGCACTTGCGTGTCCCCGCTGGAGGTTTGGACTTCTTTCGCTCTTCGCTGCTGCTGGTGCCTCATGATCTCCGCTCTATGAAGTGCTTCTTAGACGGATAGTAGGCAGCAGCAGCTGCTGCAGCAGCAGCTGCTGC